CATTTTGTTTAAATGCCTGTGCATTCTGCCTAATGTGTATAGCAGCCCTACACGAGCTGGGAATATGTTTGTTAACCTCTTTACTTAAAAAAATATGGCTGGGCTGCACCTACTTATTCATACAGCTCGTTTATGCAGCTACATCTCATCCTCAAAGTCAGGTTTGATTGCTTGCCACACCTGGAATGTCATTTGGGGGAATTACCTGAGTTCTTTGATTCTTTTTTGTGGTAACTGCATGCATGTTTTAGGTGAATTGTTTCCTGGTTTTCCTTTTTTTTGACAAATACAAAGCCTTGACCAGCTGCAGAAAAGGGATTTTTAAAAAAAAAAAAAAAAAGATAAAAATGAGTAATTCAAGATTCAGCTGTCAGGACATTTTCAGAAATGCTGTGTTTTAAATAGCCTCCTTAGAAAGCTGGTATGAAAATAGAAGGTGATGCGTTTAAAAGCTTATACTTTTAAATATCCTGTATAGCAATAGCCTTAACCAGCCTTGAAAAATCCAATATAAATCCTCCTTTGGAGAGGTTTTATTAGCCTGCTGAGTAACTAGGAGCAGGCTGTAGGTATACAAGGGAGATTGTATCAGTGTGTCTACTGTTCTCTTGCCCTTCCCTCTGCATCTGGGAGGGCAGGTGACCTTCAATAACTCACAGAAAGCCTGGCCTTTTAAGGACCTTCACCTGTGTATTTGACCTTGACTCTGAATAAATATCTATCAGCCTTTCAAGAGATAGAGCCCTTGTTTTTTAAGAAACCACCTGAAACTTTGGGCAACTTTGAACCTTGGATGTTCATGCCAGGGAAAACAGCTACAAAGCATGGACTATTGTAGTGCTTTGTTCTGTCTTCCTTGTAATCTTTTGGTTTCTAACCTTGTATGTAAAAGCCTGGCTTCAGGTATTGCTAAAGAAATGTGTTCCTAGCTCTGGCGAGCCTGTCTGGTGTTGGAGGAGGAGAAGCACCTTTGTGAAGGTGGCAGCTTGTTCTGAACCTGAGCAGTACATGCAGGCAGTCTGAAGAGCCTTGCCTGAGTGGACGTGGCAGGGGTATATGGATGGGGGCTGGCTTGGTGCCTCCTGCATGGCCAGAGTTGATGCTGCAGCTGCTCGAAGTTGAGTGTAGGAAGTAACCTGTCCTTACATGGGAAAGCTGAGACATAGCTGAAATCACATACTTTCCTTGAATTCATTCTGTATTTAGTTAGAATTTCCATTCAGAATTGACCTGCTTTTGCTTCTTCCTACGCCCTTTCCTTCCTCTTTTAACCCTCCCCTTCAGCTGTTTGGGTATGGTATTTTTTATTAAGAGTCAAGCTACTCTCTAGTGGATACAAGTATTCAGTTTTTGAAAATAAGGCTTCTATCCTGTGTAGTTAGTGAAATAATGTCATAGAGTTTTAAAAAAAAATTCTCATTTCAAATTTTATCATATATATTGTCATTATTCTCATATCATTGAGAATGTACATGTCAATAAAGGATCTTGAGACCATGTCTGGTGGGCCAAATACACAGTTTTGCAGAGTATCTGTGCTTTGCCATCAAAGACTTAACTGAAGTTCTTCCTATTTTTTACTCTCACTCAAGCCCAAGATAAGCAAAACTCTGGGATTTTAGTTCTGGAGTGGCAACTGCACAGTCTGTATATATGTCTTGTCTCTAGCAAGTTGGAAGGCATAAAACAAAGAGAGATGGATTTGGGATCGACAGATGTCAAAGAGTAAATGAGAGATACAGGCTTGATATGATATGATGTAATATAATATGATATGATGTAATATAATATCATTATAATATCATTATAATATCATTATAATATCATTATAATATCATTAATATAATATAATATAGTATGATATAATATAATATAATATAATATAATATAATATAATATAATATAATATAATATAATATAATATAATATAATATAATATAATATAATATAATATAATATAATATAATATAATATAGATATAATATAATATAGATATAATATGATATTATGATATAATGTAACATAACATAATATAATAATCAGAGAAAGTAATTTCATGGAACAAAGACACAGATCCATTTTCCTTTCAGATCTGTCTATCAGTACCTTTTCTGTAGTAGCTATCATTCAATAACTCAGCATTTACCCTTTTCCCAGCACATTATCCTACCTTCTGGATCCCTTGATGGGCACATCAGATATGCTGTGGCCATTCTATTAATTTTTCCACCCCTCAGATCTTTTCTCCAGTGCCAGGCAATTCAGAATATATCAGAAACAGATAAAAATGAATTAAACATCTAGGCTATCATATTATAATTATAATTCACACATGACGTTCTTCTGTGGCAAATGCAGGTTTGGATGATATGAGTTGAACTCTGAATGATTTACTTATGAATATGAGTGTTTGTCTTTCCTCTGTGTATAAAATAATAACCAGCTTTAAGGAAATATTAACTAGTAACAAAAGGGCATTTTTTGATCGCCCTGCAGTGTTCCTGTCCGGGAACTGTCCTAATCCTGCTGAACACAAGGAGTGCAAAGTCTTGGTCTCTTCCCACAATCCCATTTGTAGTATTTATAACAAAATTTAATTTCTAGCTTATTTTCTGAGGTACTTCAGTTGGAGATCCTTGAGGGCTACTTCTAAAGGGATCTGCAAAAATTAAGGAGAGCAGGTTTATTACCAATAAATGTAAATACATTATTTAAAATAATTGCAAATAAAATACACACTCATGAGAGTGTTCTGTTCAGTTAGAAAAGGTTTAAGGAAACATGAATCAAGGAAGATAAATGCTAATTTAGATCATAGACAGCAAAGAAATAAATGGGAATAAGAAAGGTGGGACAAAGTTGTGGCCGCACTACCAAGAGATGTAGGTAACTTGTGGCATCTGATCGCTGGGCTTGTTCATAGTAGGCATTACTGATTATTTTTCATCATGGAGATTTAGTTCAAGGAAGATTTTAAAAAGGGAAAAACATGATTCCAGATTGGAGCTTTACCATTCAGCTGAACAACAATTTCAAAAGCAGAAGATCCAGATGCAAAATTTGAATTCTTAATATGACAGGATGATTTATGAGGCACTGTGAAGTTATTTTTTCCTGTCTACTAAATCCATTTGCTTCTGCCTCTGTAAAAGCTTGAAAGTCATATCTGTTCCCATGCCAGAATATTTTCCCCCACCATCAGCCATGCTCTTTGGCTTGTGAATGTCAGGCTGCTCAGGAGTTCGTGCTCCTAGGATTTAACAAAAAAAAAAGCATTGATGATCTCAAGAGTCCATATTCAATACCAGAGGACACACTTTCCAGCTTTTCCTGTTACAGACAGAGGTTGAAGGACTGAAATAGGTAATGAATTATTCACAGAAAACTTTGTGACTAGGTGGGCTGGCAATCAGCCATGGTATTAAAAAGCAGCTGCAGAAAAGGGTTTTTCCCTCATTTTCTGTATTGTTTTACACACCAATTCATGTTCTTCTTCCATGCCATATATGATGTATACTGAGCAAGTGAAACATAAAAACAGTCCTAGGAATTGCGCAAACCCTGAGCCCCCAAAGCAGCAAGCTTAACCAGCCTACTGTGTAGGACTGGTGTAACTAACGATGACGGGAGTGTATTAGAAAAATGTGTAAAGTCAGGGTTACATCATTGTCTTGCTGTGTCCTCAGTGTTTCAGATACACACCTTTAATGGCAATCATAAACACGTATGTATAGGAAGCCACATCTCTTTCCTCCATCCTGCGTGATTTTCCTGGGGGTAACCTCTACCTTGCAACACCTCAGGTGATGTGTGAAGGGTCCAACTCCCCTCATATTCACTTTTCATGACTTCCCACATGGCACCACAGAAAGGCTCTCTTATTTTTGGAGCTGCAGGACACCCCTTTTGTTGAATTCAGCCTTGTTAATAAAAACAAGTCAAAAATATGGGTTCATTGGACGTTTGGTTTCAGGACCCAGAGTAAGGTAAATCAATAGAGGAGGAAGAGTGGCTTCCTCAGAGGCCAGCGGTGGCTTCACTGGAGCCACAATACCAAATCTCTTCCTAGTTGAACAAAATGCAGATGGAAATATTGTAGTTGTCAAATGTTTTTCAAAACTGTACTGTTGAAACATAACTGAAAGCTATTAAAGGATCTAATAATCACCAGGCAAGAAATACTTTGTTTCAGTGAAGTGTAACTCCTACTAGTTGGTTAGACCCCTTATAATCAGTTTATAATTTAACTTATTTGTGTCCATACTCTCTTTTTTTTCAGTGAAGTAAAATACAAAACATTCAAATATGGCCTGTAATTTGTTTTCAGTTAATTCTTACACTAGTTTCTAGCATGTAAAAACTCCATTTTATGTATTTTTTCCTGCTGTAAGCTCCTGTAACCTTAGAAATTATACAAATGACTGACATTTGGGATTTTTTCCTTGTTTATTTTTCAAATCTCAAAGCTTTTCCCTACTGTGATGCAGGTGCCACTGGCTATGGCAGGTTTCCCATGTGTTGTGTACAGGTGCACGGTATTGCAAAAGCATGCCTCATTTTTTGTACCTGGGAATTGCAAGGCAGTATGCAGAACAGCGCGGTGAAACATCTGCCTCATTTCCAGAAGTGCTGCAGCAGCACAAGGCTCGGTCAAGGCGTGTGCGTGGCAGGAGCCCTGCTGCCGCCTGCTCCCCTCGCACCCGCGGTGCCGGAGCGCAGGCTGGTGTCCTCTGGTGTCACCCAGATTGCAGATCTACACACCTCTGCCAGGAACCTGCTTTTTCATTGATGGGCCACAGGCAGTGTTGGAAGAACCAACGATTCATGCATTTTTATGAATTTCTAAGCACTCTGACTTGCAGTGAATGCCAGCACTTACTGTTCTTCATTAATAATTGCTCCATACCACCCATTTTTTCTTTCAAACCATTCCTGATGTTGCTTTTATTCTGAATTTTGTCTCTTCTGTAATAACCATCTCCTTTGTTTTCTATTTGCAGGGTGGTTTACAGACCTACTGCTTCCTAGTGTTTGCTGCCATCTGCTTTGCAGGAGCTGCCTACCTGTTTTTTGTCCTGCCTGAAACAAAAAATAAGACATTTCATGAGATCAGCCAGGCATTCGCCAAAAGGAATAAAGTGTCCTTAGAAATGCAAGAAATTAACCATTATCCAGGAGAGAGGAAATCGAGTGCAGAACAAGAATCAACCTTCACATCCTCAGTGAACAATGGGGAAACCAAAAAAGGGATTGTGTAAACCCAGGATGCTGTTTCAGAGGATGGGGGAAAACATGCCCTTTTCATTCAGTATGTTTATAGCAGTGCACAACTTGTATTTTTTTATGTGACAGCATGAACTGCTTCCCCCTGAATATGTTTTAAGTGTATATGGGTAAACTCATTAGCAGCTAGGGTGGTGATTGAGGAAATGAGAGGTGTGAGAAGTGGCAGTTGATTAAATAAGAGCCAGAGTTTTCTTGGGCACCCATGAAATCGGTGCTGTGGTGAGTGGGGTGGGAAATATAGACTCGGAGAAGTAAAGTGGCGGTGGGAAGCTGAGGTTGTGAGCAGCAGCTGGCTGAGCACCCCATGTGCTCACGGGGAGGTGTGTGTGAAGTCACCAGGGAGGAGGAGGCAGGGAAAAGGGAAGAGATCCCAGTAGGAGTCTGCTAAGAATCGATGCAAGCAAATCTGAAGTGCTGCTGGCTCCCAGTACATCACTCAAGTTGCACATGAGAACTGAAGACTTGAAAGAAGACTCATGACACTCCCCTGACCTCCCATTCCTTTTCCAGCTCTTTTGGCTTTCAGTTGTTTTGCCTGAACATCTCACACCTTCCCACAAATGGGAAGCTCCCAGTCCTGATGGGTTTCCTTGTCTCTCCTGCAAATCCTGATCAGCTAGTAATAGAGTTGCCCCTAGTGTCTGGGTTTGCTGGCACTGTATTTCTGTGGATATATATATATATATATATTTTTAATTTTATTTTTTGAGAATAGCTATAGAAGCTTTATTATGAAAAGAAAACTAAACCTCATGGTGAAGTGAGAGAACTCTGATGGTACGTTGTAGGGTGTAGCATTAAAAAAAATCAAACATCAAATGTTCCAAGGGCTGGGGTTTTTTGACTGTTTTTTTTTTTGCTTTTATTTACAAGTACCTTTTAAAACAAGTCTTAGGAGCCAAAATTTCCCTAGACCCAATAAATGTAATTTCTTAACACTCAGATCTTTCCAGAAGAATCTGGGTGCCTATTTCTTATTTAAACACTGATTTCATTTGGGCATTAGATTGAAGATCCAGGCCTAGCTCACATTAATAAGTTTCTAAGCTATTTAATGCTTTGCAAAAGTTTCTTTAGAGTCTGCGTAATTTTTGATAGAAAGACTCATCAGGCTGTCGGTGGTTAGGTGATCCATTCCCTTCCACAGGGGATATTTTTTTTTTATGAACATCATCTTTTGAATTTATAATTTTCGTAATAGTTTTTCTTGATTCTTCTAGGTACCTGGATGCTGAGGGGGTAATAAGCACTTTTAAATTTAGTTAGCTTTTTTATGTAAGTCAATAAGTCTTAGAGCTGCTCTCAGGAGTAAGGCACAAGAAGCACGTGTAGTGTGTAGGTAGAGCCAGCTTCTTCCACAAGTTATATTTACTAATCAAGAAGTTCATATGTTTGAAGCATTTTGGAAAAAAAGAAACTGTATATATATTGCGATATATATATATATATACACACATATATACATATATGAATAGATATATTAAAAATGTAGAAAAATATTTATATTAATATATATATTCACAATGGAGAATTGTTTTCCAAAATTTTTTCTGCAGATTTCCCCAAGTGATAAGCTGCTTATTGTGTTGTTCTACACTGTAAATTAAAATCAGAGATCCTAATGTTCAGCTATTACTACTAAATTATGTATATGGTTTTATACTGTGATTTATTTATATGTGGCATATTTACTGCATACATTGTACGCTGACCTAATAGGGCAATTTCAGTACTGGGTAATAGAAAAAAAATTGATCTGAGCCTTTATGCCAGAATTTATGTTCTTTTACTAGGATGGAGGTACAGCAGCAAGTAAGAAAATGAAAATATATATGAGCAAGGGAATTAAGAATGAAAAATCAGATTTATCATATTGGTGCTACTGTTAAGAAACAGAGTGAATCAGGTTTATACCAACAGATAATCATAGGTAGAAGTTAATCAAATACAATGTAGAAAACTGAAGAAAAATGTTTTCTAATAACCACTTGTAAAATTATATATAGAGCAAATGAACATCCCATCTTTCAGTGGCTCTAGTTGCCTGTTCCATGTGTTACATGAGGCTTGCTAAGTGAGTGGCTGTGTAAAAGATGAATTTGAATGCCACCCCTCCAGACAATTCCAGGAAGAAATTCCTTCTCTTCTGCCTGTAAGCCAAGACTGGCAAATTCAGACCCTCTCATTCAGATTGAGAATTACCTTACTTTTAGTTAGGGCTACTAGCATGGTTTGATGTGATCTGATTTGAGTCAAGTTGGCAAGATTGGAAACCATTATTATTATTGCTATTATTAGAATTAGGAGAATTCAGCACTTTATGATGTTCATTAATGTACATTAGAGGCATTACTTGTTGATAATTGTTGCCACTTGATAACTTCAACAAAATACCATGTTGGCCTGATACATCAACAAGATAAAATCATTTTACAGTTGCTTACAGTTGCATTTGGAGCCCAGCTCTCAATGTGTTGGGAAAGAAATTGCTCGATAGAATTTCTTGTCACAGCTCCGGGGCTCGTACAGCATTAACAACAGGGGGTTGTGCTTTTCTCTTCTGCAACCCCGTTTGCCTGTCTCTTGCCCTACCTGAGATAAACACACTCCAAAGAGGCATTTTCTGTGCGGCTGCAAAGAAAACTGCTACAGATGAATATGCTGTGGGACAGGGGTTGCATGTCTCGCCAGCGGTTTGCTGCAGCCCATGGTGCAGGTTCAAAGCAATCCCAGTCTCCAGATGTGTATGTGTGCAGGTGCTTTGCTCACTGGCCAGGGAAGGTGGCTGCAGCCGCCTCTGCCTTGGGTTGTGTAAGTTTCTGAGGATGCTTCAGATGTGCCACTACTGCATTAACTTTCTCATCTCGGACCCTAATTAGAGTTTTGTGTTATTCTTCAAGTTGTTCCGTAATGTTTTTTTCCATTGTTATGCTGCTATAGCTTCTCCAGCAATGAGAGGACAAAATGGAAAATGTCAGCAATTTACCATTTGGTTTTTCTTGTTGAATGTATCAAATTTTCTACAGCCCATGTGTTTGTCAGTGCATGTTTTGTGGTGCCACGTTCTCTTTTCCTGTCTGTCACATTGGGATGAAGTATTGTGAGATGGTGTTTGTACAAGGACCACAGGTGGGTTACATGTGTGTGATCAACTATGTCCATGCGCAGTGATTGCAAAATGAACCTTTGGAATTAAACTGAGATGATGTAGATTTTGTTCTGGGTAAATCTGAATCTCTACAGCTGTACAAGTTTCATTGTACAATTCGTGGGTTTTTCTGTGTCCCAGTACAAGACTGTCTATGTCTGGATGACCCCAGCCATTGTGGACTACAGCTGGGTGTTTGGGAGTTATGTGGAAGAAAATCATTCCTGAAACTGTATTTGGGGGGTATTTACATTTAGATTCTCAAGTCAGAGTCCACACTTCATACTTTCATATGTTTATATTGGGCTTTAGAAATAAAAATACAGACATCAGTGAGAGGCGAATGATTAAAACCAGCCTGTAGTAGTAATAACTTTGTATAAGGATTGTTGAATCTGGAGAGGCTTTTTTGCAGAAAGTTGTCATTTGCAATGGATGACTTTGAATTGCTAAAGCTTTACTTTCAGATGAGAAATTCAGTCAGATGACTATTTCTGCTACAAAGATATGCAAAACCCAAGATCTGAAATATGTATACAAAAAATGAATTTCATACTTCAGGTTCTGAAGCCAATTTTCACTCCACAAGGATCTGTTTTCTAGTGGGGGAAGATGTGAGTAGTTCAGCCATATGGGACAACTTTCATCTTCAGAGTAAAATGAAAAAAAATGAAAAAAAAAAAAAAAATCCCCACACCAGAAACAACTCTTTGAAATTTGCATTCTTCCTTTTGACTGTTTTTATGTGCTCTTCCTTACGGAAATCACTATATAGATTCTTAGGGCTCCCATCACCTCACACAGCAGGAAGAACAAATCTGAGTAAAGCATTCTTAGAAAACGCCTGTGGTCTTTTACTTTTAGCCTGACTCCAGAAAACAGAGTTCTGATGCAGTCTAAAAACCTGAACTGTATAGACCCAAACTATGGAGCAGATTTGTTAATGCAAATATTCAAGCTGTTGAAAAAATCAGGGTTGCTTCCATACTTAATTCTCTCTGCAAGTGATTTTATTTGGGAGTGAGCCCTATGAAAAAGTGAATTTCATGGCAGAAGCTTGGGACTTGGACTCCTAATCAAGTTATCACAGCTCAGTAAGCAATCATGCATAACGTGAGTCACTACAACCCTCTTGCAAGCTAAGATGCATTAACCTTGCTTTTTGCATGACCTAAGAGAAACACAGGCAGTGGATAGTCAAGTTCTTTCTTGAGATGTTCCTGCTAAAACTGCACTACAGTCAAATTCTTTTAAACCTAGGATTTCGATTTTTAAAAAGCATAGAAGAAAAGCTTTCAGGAAGCTTTTATCCAGTGATTAATAATGTCAGCAGAAATCTCCGGTGGCTTCAACCGTACAAATGAACCCAAGAAAGGCATGGTATATGTAGAATCCTAAGCTTAGGAAACCCTGCAGGTTTTTTATCTTTAGATAGTGAACTGATGGCTTGGTTTCTCAGTCTGGGAAAACAATATAATTACTCACATGCTGCAAAAGCATTAACCCGATGCTTCTCTTCTAAGTTTGGGGTCAGAGGATTGGTTGGTTGGTGATTTGTTGGGTTTTCTAATTTAAGTGGGAGCATTAGTAGTCTGGTTCATATGCCAGAGTACCAAGTATGAGACTGTTTGAGTTGCTGGTTGTCTTAAGATAATTCCCAAAAGGTAAAAAGCAAAATATAACTCTTGTCAGACTCTTGAAACACAATACATTAAGAGCATGGAGGTAGGAGATAATTTGTCTGCTGTTGTGTCAGCTGCTGCGCAGAGACATTGATTCTTGTCTCATTTTCTCTTGTTTCAATTTAAAAAATCAAACTGAAAACAATGGTCACCTCTTTGCATTTGTGCCACCTTTTGTTTCTGACTTGTTCCACCCAATTACATAAATATTTTTACTATTCAGATTTGAAAACAGGAAAGCAGTAGTTACTTAGGAAAAGCAAACATGCCAAAGATTATAAAAATGGTGAAAACAATTTTCTTTAGAGGCTGATATTTTCAAAGATGAGTTCAAGAGTTAATCAAATACAAATTTCATGTGGTTTCATCCCTTTGCATTAAACTTTACAGACTATGTATCTGCATATGTATATACAGACACACATGAAAAAAGTTTAGCAGCTTTAATTTTCATACATTTAAGAAATTGGGCCATTTGGATATTATATCAAGTTGTGAACTAGCCTCAGATACTTACTTGCATTATCAAACTCAGCTAAAGTTTGCATGAGCTTAGGTTTGTAAAAGTTGACTAGTAAGGCTGTCTGCTTTTGGCCAGCCTTAGATTGTTCTCTTTGCACTTTTCTAAATTGCTAGGTGGAGGCTACTATGTTTATATATATATATATAAGATACATATATGAAATATATATATTACATATACAAATACGTACAAACACAAACATATCTTTTGCTACTTGGATCCCACTCATAGTGATTTCATGGATCAAAAGAGTTCTTTATCCATTTGCAATTACTCTGGAAAGAATACAATGCAGTGGCAATGTCAGGTATATCTTCTCTTCCATAGCACCTTGGTGCTAGCAACAGAAAAATTATCGGGGGGGGGGGGAAAAAAAAAAGAAAAAAAAAAAAGGCGTGGTCTTTCCATGGTGACAGAAAAAAAAAAGACAAAAATTTTGTCCCCTTTTACATATATAAAATTATATTAATGTGTGTGTATGTGTATTATATATTATAATATATAACATTTTGATACATAGATAATATTATATAATTTACTTTCCTCAAAGGAAAAATAATGGAGTTTTTCTTAATTCCTTGGAACTGTATTTTGTAAACAAATGTGAGGTAAACAGATAATCTAAGAAATTATATATTGCTTTAACACAACACTCCAATAAACCATGATTAGACAATTTATATTCTATCGCTGGCAGGCTGAAGCCTCTCTTCCGAATCGATACACTCACTGAGCTGTGATAGACTGATCATCTGGGTAACTAACAGTCAGCAAGGGTTTTTCATGTGCTTGTTGCACAGCACAGGAATCACCTTGATGCAAAGCTGGAGAAAATCCTTCTCAGGGTAGCTCCAGCTCTGGATATTGATGCTAAAATAATTGCCAACATGTAGTAAGGGAACCAATTTCCTTTCATCAAATAGGCTTCAGGAGGAACTTGTGAATAAGAGAGTTATCCTTAATTGTAACTTGGGTTTTCTTTTGAGACATCAAAGGAAAATATTAAAACTCTTTATCCAACTAGAGAAAAAAATTTTACTGAAGCCCCTCAGGAAGCAGGATGTATTAGCATAATGTTCAGTCTGGGCTAAGCCAAATA